CAAAGGACACTTTTTGCTCCTTGCCCTCCTAGGTCGATTAGTTCCCAGGGACTATGAGCATCTCGCAAAATGTCCTGTAATGGTGGTAGGTCATCTGACCTCTTTATCAAGGAAGCCAAGGAGACCCCACCAGATGGACTTGAACCAGTGTCCAGTCTATAAAGAGGAGGGTCAACACGGAGGAATCATTTCCTCCATGCTTCCAAGAGAAGCCAACAATGGTCCAGCAGGACCTTTGACTTATCTTCACATAGATGGAACTGGTAAAAGAAAGGAGCCAGGGGCTCCTCCCAAACCCATGAAAGATTTTTTAATAACAGATTATCTGAGTCTCAAATTTCAAAGTAAAATTTAAGTAGATTTTATTCTACTGTTGTTAATTTGAATGTTTGTTATTTGTCATAATGGCAATCTATAGCTTGTTTAGGTGGTAATTCAAACTATAACAAGTGTGCTATTTCATTTTAAATTCAATACACACCCACTATATATATGTGCATATATGTATAATGTTTGGGGTTTGGGGTTTCGACTTGGAGGGGTTGTTCTCTTTCACTTTTATAGATGTTTTGGTACATGGTCATAACCTCCTTTCCTCTAGGGCACTTATGCAGTTATTTTTCTAAAAGGGCTCTTTTTCTTCCTTTTCCTGAAGTAGACAGAGTCCTAATAAGAATCACATGTCATGCCCAAAGGGTTCGATTGAAGAATTTAATGAGCGGACTTTGAACAGAGTTAATGGAATCAACCAGGAATGGTGACATGCACAGAGACTGGCAGCAGCAGGCAGCTCGCGCCCTTCTCTGGCTTAAATGAGGGCCATTCAGTGCCTGCAGTTTTGTAAGGTGCAAAACTGAAAACTGCATCCCAGGGCAGGGTGATTTGTACCCCATGCCTCCTCTGACTGAATCTCCCCATTAAACCTAGGCAAGAGTTCAGTGACTTAAGAGACACAGAGCTGGCTGAAAAAAAGCCAGGATAGACCCTTAGTTCGCAAGTACAGGTGGCGGTTAACAACTGTCCATAACTCCAGTTTCAGGGATCAACATCCTCTCTGACCTCCATGAGCATTGCATGACATGGGTACACTTACTTGCATACAGGCATAACACTCATACACATAAAATAAAAATAAATAAGTGAAATACTTTTACTGATTCAAGAATTTTATACAATGTATTTTGATCATATTGAGACCTCCTCCATCTCCACACCTACAATACTATCCCCCCGACCCCAACTTCATGTCCTTTATCATTATTTGTATTCTTTTTAGAAGCCTACCAAGTCTAATCTGTGTTTCTTAAATGCTTTTGGGTGTGGGCCTATCCCTTGGAGTCTGGTCAACCTACCAGGTAACTGACTCTCCCTCTCCCAGCATCTATCAACTGCCAGCAGATCCTTGGCTAGGGCTGGGGCTTTCCCTATTTTTTCAAAAATGACTTTTATTAAAGTAGCTTTATGATTTCACTAAGAGAAATTTCTGTTCCTGAAAGTTTGTTATTACCCAGTAATAATTGTTAATGTATTTGTGGGGGAAGAATTTTTATTTTCATTTGAAAGCTTTTATTAATATTATTCTTTGACAATTTGATACATGGATACAACACATTCTAGTTACTCCTCGGCCCCCATTTTCTTCCCATCCTGTCAGTCCATCCTCTTTCTTACAAATTTCTTTCCATTGTCCCATGGAATTTAACTAGGACCATCTGTGTTACTGTGATTTGTAACTAACCTTCAGAGCCTGGTGGGCTCACCAGTGGATACACAACTAGACACTATGTCTTCCCCCTCCCAGAATCTGTTAGTTGTCAACAGATGAGCAGCAAATGGTAGGGCCCTGTGAGCCCCTTCTCTCTCTATAGCTGACTATCGGTTGGATCTCCCAGTTCTGAAAATCACACATTAAAGTCACCAACTGCCCTTTTCATTTTTTCTTAAAATTCCATCAGTTGCGTATATATTTTAAACTTTGTTATTAGCTTCGCTTATGTTCATTATTATTACAACTTCTTGATTTGTTGTAATATCTTTCTTGTCTCTTATGATACAGTTTGCCCAAAATTATATTTTGTTTAATAGTAAAAAAATAATCACTGAATTTCTTTTGCTTTGTATTTCGTTCATAGCATCTGGTTTTCTGTCTGTTTATTTTTATCCATTCCATAGTCTTTTGTTGAAATGTTTCCTTTCAGCAGCCTATTTCTGAATCTTACTCTTGTATAAATCATTGTGGGAGCGTTTCTCAGTTAATTGGTGAGTTGAGTTTATTTGGAATTACTTTGATGACCTTACTATTTGTACTTTTGACTGCCGCTTTGGCTTTTATATGTCCTTTTCCACATTCCCTTGTTTGTGTTTTATCTTTCTACCTGTCTCTATTAGAAATATCAATTTTTCATCTGCTCCTTAAAAGTTAACATTTTTATCTTATTTTCCTAATAATTTGATGCAGTTTTAGGTTTTGTTCCCTAGCATCATAATATAAAGTAAATCAATATTTATGTTTTAATCTTTAATAAAATAATAACTGTAGTATATTGTCCTTGAACTTGCCTCCTGCCACTTTTGTATTTCAGGAGTTTTAGTAAATATGTTTACAGGAATTCCTTTTATGCTTCTTTCCCACTGTCTTGACTGTGATGATTGTCCTCCCCTCCTGCCACACACATACACACTGCTGTTCTGGCTCTCTGCCTCTCCTTTTCTACTGCCTGGTACAAAGCATGTAACCTATCACATGACTAAAACTAAATTAGTGGCCAGAAGATTACAGCTTCAGAGTGTGGAGTAGGTTAGCCCTGATTTACCTCCAGGTATATACTTACCTGGTTTTTGTGAGGGAGATGAAGATCAGTTAACTCACTGTCTCCTTCCTGGTGCTGGCATTTCTTTACTCAGATCATCACTTTTGTAGACATCAGAAAGCCCTTGTGTTCTGTTTCTTAAGTATTCATTCACAGGGCTGGGGATTTGGCTCAGCAGTTAAGAGCACTGACTGTTCTTACAGAGGACCTGGGTTTGATTCCCAGCACCCACATGGTGGCTAACAACCATGCGTAACTCCAGTTCCAGGGAATCCGATGCCCTCTTCTGACCTCTGTGGGCACTGTACAACTCAGGTACTCTTACATACATGCAGGCAATACACTCATACACATAAAATAAAATACTATTCATTTGCAAGCTTTTTGTTAATTGATGATTTCCTGAAGCCCATCCATGTTATTTTCTCTCATAGCCCCCCAAATTGCTTTCAAGAGAGGAAGAACATAGCTTTCATTAGTTTGCTGTGTTGCCATTTCTGCCTTTATTCTTTATTAATAACTCCAGTTCCACAGGGAACGATGCCCTCTTCTGACCTCTGTGGGCACTGTACAACTCAGGTACTCTTACATACATGCAGGCAATACACTCATACACATAAAATAAAATACTATTCATTTGCAAGCTTTTTGTTAATTGATGATTTCCTGAAGCCCATCCATGTTATTTTCTCTCATAGCCCCCCAAATTGCTTTCAAGAGAGGAAGAACATAGCTTTCATTAGTTTGCTGTGTTGCCATTTCTGCCTTTATTCTTTATTAATTCCATCACCCACTCTTCTCTGGGTGTGTCTGTGTGTTCACATGCCAACTTCTTATGACTGGTGTTTAATTTTTTGCCGTATTTTATTGTT